CTCGTCAAAATGATGAAAATGGACTCGAGAAGACCTTTCTCACTCATTTGCATCATCACAATCTCACGCGAGACACACTCCTTCACTTCTTTAATTGGACTCTTTAACGTCTCAATGTACCCATTCAACACACTAATCTTCGTCTTCACCTCCCGCATCATCTCTACCGTCTTATCTCTGTTTAATAATATAAAACTCTCTATAAGCATCATCCCCTTATTTTTAGTAAAGAGCGTTTCAAGCACAAGACTCTCGTCGCCTTCTGCTAAACATCTCTCCACCGCTTGTAACAGCAATTTGAAGTTTTCTTGTTGTTTTGGGTTCGCAAGCATATTTGGAGTGATCCCGTTCACTATGAAGTTGTGCGAGACTATTTGAAACGCGTCGACCGTACGCTTCCCAATGCTTTTATACAGCGAAAAGATCGTTTGATAGCGCGAGTACTCAATACAAATACTAATGACTGACGCACTGTTTAATAAGTCCGAGTAATACGCTAAGACCATATCAGAGTCTATATAGTCCGGCTCACTTAAGGTATATACAAAGTACTCCCATACACTATTTTTAGTCAATTTCAATGGCTTTCCCGTTCTTAAAACCTCTGAAATGTACTTATAAAGTTCATTGATATTCTTTGTAAGTACTTCTTGAAGAGCTTTGTCTGTAATATTAGTTAATTGTTGACTACAAGCAACTAACACTTCATCTATACAGTTGAATGCTATCGACAAGTCTATAACACGAACTCCCTTCTTGGCTTGATCAACAACTAGTTTAATACCTTTGCTCGCCATTCTCTTGGACTCTTTCGACTGCAGACATATCGCTATTTGGGACTCAACGTCGCCACTCTCTTCAATCAAATCGTCCTCCGTCGGCAGCTCACTCTTATAGAACTCGCCTTTACTCAAATACACAAGATGTGTACTGTTACTCGCACACATCTCAATATACAATTCACTCAAAAGAACTTTCTCTCCTCCCGCAGACGCTATTTTGAGGCTCTCGGGATATTGCGCAAGCACAAAAGACTCCAACGTGATGATCTTCTTTGGTCGGACAACACTCAATTCGCGGACTAAATTAACACTAAAACTATTCTTCACTACTTTCTCTTCATAAAATGAGATCACGCCATTCTCAAAGATGGAGAACGTCGGGTTCAACTCACTCTTCTGGAAGTCTAAAATAGGTTCTGAGCTGATCGTTTTCAGTTTCTTATACAAATAGTACTCCGTTGGCGGACTTGTAAATTTGCTCTCCGAATATTGAGTCCCCGGCCCGCCAAGCTTCTGGTCTTCTAGATCGCACAACCATAAGAAGACGGACTTCCCCGTCGCAAGCAGAAACTGTCCAACGTCCTTTGTTTTCGCTGGGGTACACGCAACACACGAGTTCGACAAGACGTCGACGTGGCCACTCTTCCCAAACCCCAGTAACGACGTGTCGGGGTACTCCACGACTCTCAAAGTTTTATCAGACGAGTAAACAGTGAAGATTTTAGTGTTAATAAATTTGGCTTCGACCGCATTCGAAATTGTCTGTCGGTAATACACTTTGTATGACACAAGGTCGATAACTAAAACAGTGAAGTCCGAAGAAATGGTGACGACAAAATTGTCCAAAAAGTCGACGGAAATCACAGGCGCCGACTTCGTGAGTGGCGGTGGCGTGTGGAAAACGACATTTTTTGTTTCCGTGTTATACACTATCAAACTGTTCGATGACGTCAGACATAATATGTTCGAATTACTCACTACATAACTTTTGATCACAAGAGTCGACTGCTTCACACTCGTGTTGAGGACTTCTAGCCTTTCACTTTCCATCGTCTCATTTTAATAGTTCTTTATAGTTCTTTTCTCACACTTCACTTTTATTAAAAAGTATACTATATTTTATTATAATACTTACTACTTAATGTATCTATTAAAATATAGTAAAATATACTATAAAAGAGTTATTTCACGGCATACTGAACGACATCGTCTAATTGAACGTCCCGCCATCGG